AAAAAAAAAAAAGGGCAGATCATCTCCCCTCCGATACGCTGGAAAAGTAAACTGCTCAATTGTCCGTAAGTAGAGAAATGCATTTCCTTTTTCTCAAACATCTTTATTGAAGTATCATTTACATGCTATAACATTCACCCATTTTAAGTGTACAATTCAATGATTTTTAGTCAACTTACTGAGCTGTGTAACCATCACCATAATTCAGTTCCTTACTTCTTTTTAAACATAGAATCATACACATAAAAACTCAATAGTTATGCAATGAGTCTTATGGTATAGTCGTCTTATGGTATATTACATAATATAATGTTAAAAATAGTGGCACTTTCATTGAAATGATCCAATCATTTGTATTTAATCAGCAGATAACATTTTCTACTGGTGGTATTCCACTGCAATATTCTTAAACTACAAATTGTGGAACATCTAGCCACCTAACCAATGTTTCAATCAATAGGATTTCTTTCCTCTCAGCTTAATTTTTTCCTAGGTTGCTTATAATTCATTAAAGGTTGCCATCAAGTACAGGTCTGGTCGAACTGCATCCGTTTAACTGAGCGAACATTACAGATGGACTTTCCGAGGGCTCAGCCTGGACAGGCAACGTGGGCATTCATTCAAGGACGCCACGCCTTGCCCATGGGGAGTGGGAACCACCCCATATGCAGCAATTCATTTAACTCATGACAAGCCTGAGAAATAGTATCTCTACTTTGTAGATGTGGCACGTGGAACACAGAGCAGGTAGCCAGTGTGCCCAGTGTGCCTGTGGAATGATGCAAGGTCAAGTGTGCACACTCCCAAGGCTATGTCCACTGTAAGCTGCCAAGGGCTCCAGCAAACACTAAACACCTTTAAGTGCAGACTTGGGAATGATTCACTTGGAAGCCAGGACACTCTCGTGGGCGCATTGGAGGAGGGGGCTTAAATTCGTGTTTTGTAAGAACTCTTACAGAGTATTTTAATTATACAAATAATGCACAAAGGCATTCATTCACACAGATATTGTGAAAGTCCCTAACACCTTCACCCAGCCGTGTTCCCCTTGGGGAGCGGGGGCTGGTCTGTGGGTGGGCATTGAGTAGGCATCGGCCCGGAGGTCTGTGTGGTGGCTTACGGTGCTGCAGGGAATTCCATTCTCTACTGGTGGCTGCCTGATTCTCTAAGTCAGCCTCTGAGGAAGAGTTTGATTAAAGGATCAATTCTTCTGCTTAATAGAAACACTTGAAAACGTATATCAAGCTTCTTGTGTTGCTTGATCTGCCATCCTGTGCCCATCAGCCCCATTTTCCTCCAAAGCCCGGCTGATGTGGTGTACTCAGCAGCCTCTGCCCACCGCTCACTGCCTCTTGGTAAAGCCGGCAGTGGCTTCTACTTCCAGGATCCCCCTGCCTCTGCAAGCCTGTTCCCATGTTCCCACGTTGCACCTGCCGAGGTGGCCTTACGGTCCTTTATCCATTAAGCACTATGTATACAGGGCTGAGGACCTACAAACATTTGCTGGGCCTCAAAATAAATGTTTGAGACCTAAAAAAAAATTCATGGGTTCCAAAATACAAAAAATAGATAAATTGCAAAATACTTTAAATAGAAATAGAAGTATTTACTTAAATATCTACATTATGAAACATTAAGGCCAAATTTATTAACTGCAAAATGTATGATTGATACAGATTCATAAAAACAAATGATAGTGAAATTTTCTCACTTTGTAAAAGTGATTGCTAAGAAATAATAACCAATGACGAATGTACATCATCACAGTCGGTGATTAACATGTGGGAGGCAGTTTTATATGGTGGCTAACAGCTCAGATGAAGTTCACACCTCAGTATGACCACTTCCCAGCTGTGTGGCCTCGGTCAAGCTATTTAATGTTGCTGTGCCTCCATTTCCTAATCTATAGAATAGAAAGTATCTGGAATATCTACCAAATACAGTTGTTGTCAGGATTAAAAGAGGTAACATACGGGAAGAGCTTAGAATAGTGCCAAATACATAGAAAGTTCCCAGTAGAAAAGAGCTGTCATTAATACTTATGTCCAAATAGTTTCAAAATGTATTTCAAAATTTCTTTAGCAACAGATTACTTTTATTGATGATTGCAAGTGCATTTTTATATACTTCACCCGTGAGGTGGAGCCCACCAAAGTAAAATAGCGAGGGCCATAAAGGGTCTCAAAATGCACCTGGCTTGTCTAAAGCTACCTGACCTTCTGCAGGTGATTTGTAAATGTGCAAATACAGTTAAGTTCAATCCTCCTTAGAAATGCGGACTATGGCATCGGTCCTGCAAGTTTCCTGTTGATTGTGGCAAGAGGGCAGCACTAATTCAGGGGATTTCCAGGTGCCCCAGACTACCCCTGGCAGAGGAGTCAGATGTCTCTTAACAATGTGACTTCTAATATCCCTAGAGCCCAGAAAAGACTGAGCCAAATGTGAACATCGAGTTTCTAAATTTAAAATCCAAACGTTTATGATTACATCACCTCCAGTGCACTGTTTTCCCCTTAGGAAAGAAGGAAAGGAAGAAGACAGGAAGAGAGGAGAAGCGTCACCTCGCAGGAGGTCCCTGTGTAGCCTTGGGGACATTCACAGTGCTCCACATCCGCAGCAACCACCAGGTCTATAGCATTAGGGCTGGCCACGTCCAGAGAGACAGACTCCAACCTGTAAACAGATAAGGGTCGTTAAGTGACTCATACACTCACAAATGACATCCTACACCTCAATGAAGACAGGTTCCCAGAACATTTAACTCAAAACAGTGATGTGATTGATTTTTTTAAGTAACTAAAGATTTTCGTAACAATACACTCTGGGAGCCATCATTATTCCCTAGAAATGCCTTCAACTTTTGGTGCAAAGATGTTCTACTGCCCATAGATTACCATGGGAAGGGGCTGGTGTTGCCTATTTGGAAAGCCCTTTGTAAAAATGGATCCATTCGATTATCTTATCACTAATACAGAGATTATCCCTAAATGCATCATACTGTGTTTGTGTTAGCTGCATCCAACTCTGATGCCTGCCAAGGCACTGCCAGAAACTGTCCTTCTCAAAGTCATGAGATGTCCATGGATGGACACATCTGCTTAAACAGACTGTCTAAAACCTAAGACCATTAACATCAAGACAGCGAGAAGCAGATGCGACACGGTCCGGACAGCTGCTCACTCATCAGGCGTTTCTGGGAAACCCCCCTTGAAAACTTCTGATCCTAATGTCAAGCGTGTCACCTACTGGATACACCTGTCGTGGACAACGATCCTTATATCTTCAATAAAATTATTAATATATTTATAAAATTAATATCTTTTTAGGACAGCCTTTAGCTGTGTCCTTAAAATAACAAGTAAGTTTCAAGCGTGTAATAATAAAGACTAGATTGAAATACCTTCACCACAAGTCTTTCCTCCATTTTCAATACATACTTGTAGAGAGCCATTTTTGCAGAATTGTAGTTGGCTCTGATCAAAAGATGTGTCACATTGGCAAGGACAGTCATCAGCTGGTCACGATCGATCTCCCTTTTGTTATAAAAATCTCTGAAGTTCTCAGGCACAAGTCTAACCACATTGAAGTACTCTTCGTAGGGTTGCAATGACAGGCCCTCGGCCTGTGTGATTAGAGTGAGTCCATTTCCCTAACATTTAAAAACAGGAGACAACATATTTGTAACTCAATTTATTGATGAAAAATAAGATCCAATTTTGTATTCAGCAACATGGTTTTTCAACTGTGCTTATTAGCGTCTTGTGGCAAACACATCTTTGTGTGTATAAAACTCTTGGCCCAGAAACTTCAGAGCAAAGGTGCTTCATTGCATTGCTCTTAGACGGACTCGGGTAATAACCCAAAAGACTGTGCACTTTGCTGGGATCTTGGAAAAGAAACAAAGCCATGCATTTGCCCCAGCTTTTATCAAAGCAACTCATCTGACACCCTTAATCTTTAACTAAATTACAGAAGTAGAAAAAGTATGTAAATATACCTCCAGCTTTTCACAAGACTGCTGTTAACAAAAGCGATTTACCTTCTGCTGTTTCCAACTGCTCGGGCTGGAGGAGGGGATCACTCTAGGTAAAAGGGCACCGGAGGCAAAACCTGGAGCCGTCTCTGCCCAGACCTGCCCCAGACCCAGGGACGTTCCTGTTTTGGGAATCCTGAGGCTGAGCTGGGTCTCTTTGTGGGGAGTGAGGATTCAGGGACAGGACAGTGGTCAAGGACAACATGGGAACACATCTGCTATCCCCACATCGCCAAGCACTGCCTTATTGGTTCATTTGGGAGGCAAAGTGGCAGAAGAGAAAATAGGGACTTAAAAGGGTAGTTTCAAGGTCAGAGCAAAACCCCATCTCCTTTGTAAATGTGAAAAGATGGGTGCAGGCTGGGGATAAAGGGAAGAGTGGTAGGTGCTGTTCTGAGGCGTCTCTAGAAGTGCCCAAAGACAGTTCTCACATTCACCACCTCAGCGGTGTCCATGCGAGGCCAAGCCCTGCTGCATGGCCACCTGGCCACCACCTCCTCTCTGGGAGGGCCTCACCAGCCACCTTCAGTCATAAACTATCACCCCTCTAAGCCCTTAGCTCTGTAGTACAGCAATGCAAAAGTAATGACCTTAATTATGACATCCGCGTGTGACATGAGGCCGCTGTCCACTGTCTCCACTGGAAGATCGTAAGACACTGTGTATTTCAGCAATCCACCAAACGCAGTCAGCTGAAACGTTTAAGCAAGAATGAGCACCAAAGGGGAAAACAACCCCATCCCCTCAGTAAGAGGAAGTGGCCATCAGGAGCCATCTGGACACAACCAGGCTGCACATTGACCTAGCGGCCACAAGGGGTGAGGAGATTAGTATTAAAGGCAGCAAAAGGAAAGCACGTTGTGTGAATATTTTGTTTGATCCATATTACAAAAATGCAGGATATTGTTCGAATGCACAGAGGGAAAATATATTCCTCTTAGACATCTCCAGGTAAATTACTATAAACTTCTGTTCCTCATACAATAGGCATTTATTTCACTTAAATATTTTAGGGGTGGGGAGTTTGACCCCTGATTATAATCTCCACATTTTGATTTCATTGTCCTACTTGCAGAACAATAAGGAACATGTTTGATCTGCTAGTTAAAAAAAACGACCAAAGGTATTTCTTCCTGAACAGATATCCTTTAATGCAAAATAGAGATTCTCTTTGCGGTGGATATGTGACAACAATATAATGTTCAGAACCCAGTCTTGCTCCATAAAACTGCAGAAGTGATCTCAAGAGGGAAAAAAAAAAATCATTGAGCTTTGTTGATAAGATCATACTATAAATAGAACACATGCTCTAGGCTTATAATTTGATGGAAAAAATAATCATTTTCAAAAACCCTTAAAAACATATAATATAAAACAAGCTATAAAATTAAAATATAATCATCAAATTAAGTAAGAACTTACCAAGGTACAAGGCTACACTACAATGAAGGCTTACTATAACTTTAAGACAAACCAGGCTCCCAGGAAGGGGAGGGAGAGCTACACTGAGATAGATTCCCCCAAATATATCTGTGGTTCAATCGGAATTGGAGAGATGGGGCGTAATTGGGGAGGGCGATGCAAACACGTCACTGAAGGGAAGGTTCAATCTTGGAAGCCAATTTCCACATTGCAGAATCACCATTTTACATATTCTTAAAATTAAACAGAAAGTATTCTACCTATTCCTGAGCGTGAGCTTCATATGTGGGACAGTCTGTCCCGACACTGACGGTAAGGACAGCATAGCTGTCCTGGGGGTGGAGACTGTCCTGTTTTCTAGATGCCAGGCCCTCTACCCAGCTGTAGGGCGCTACGCCGGGTCCATGGCGAACTAAACGCAGGCATGGGATTAACACTTCGTAAAGGCCCAGGCATCCAGAGGAAAGCACGAAGTCTGTCCGGGGAAGGGGTAAGACTTCGCCAAACAGACCGTGTAGGAACTGGGCCAGGAAGGAAGACAGTTCATGTTTGAATGATGTAACGAAAAGCCAAACCAGGACCAAAAAGCTCCGTGTGACAGACGTAAAGGCCGTGAGAGGCTCTGCCAACACTCAACTGACCAACAAGACCAACCTCGTTACCTGCACGCACCTTATTCCCCAGGTAGGCGGCGGGGGCCGCCCAGTAGTACTGTGCAGCCAGCCGCTGCGTGGCCACCGTGTTGTTGATGCTGACCTGCTGACGCCTGCCCCGCACATCCTGCTGGGACGGGACCTTGCTGGGACCGATCAAGTCAGTGACCAGCCACCCGGACATGTTGTTCACCTTAAAAAAAATACAAGAATTTTAGAAGATGAAATAGATGTCATCTTAGATTTCGCCCCATCCAGTGCTAACATTTTCACAATGAAGAGATAGACCCAGGAAGCTCCACTAGGGCTGCGTTAACACAACGTGGCTGCTAAACCTCACAACCCCTGACCCTCCCACTTGTCAAAGGACCAGGAAAATCTGAGAACAAGTCTCATGTACCCCAAATCCAGATCAATGATGAGCAAATAAATGAGCAAAACCATAAAGACCACAGACATATATGTTAGATTTTAAAAAACCAAGAACTTATTAACAATAAATGCATTGAATAAAATGTCTCTTGCTAATTTGCTCCCCTTCCTTTGTTGCCCCAAAGGCTAAAAAATGTATAAACATAACCTCCAGCTCCTGTACTCCCAATCTGTCATCTACACAGAGAAGACGGTGCTCCCCGCAGCATGGGGGCGCAGCAGTCACCGGTGGATCAGCCCCGTGCCCGGAAGCTCCTCCTTCCGTCCAGCCATCACACTCCATTTCCGCCCCTGGACACCACGTGGCACCCCCTCAATCCCATCGCCCCCATGACTCCATGTTCCAAAACAACTTGTCTGCGCTCATAAGCCTTGTGCCACCTGCTCTTGTTCCCTTCCTTGCCCCAGGAGTGCCCCCTACCCACAGGCCTCTCTGAGCTGGAACATTCTCCAGACCCCATGTCCTGGTGTCTCCCTGGCCTGAGGCCAGGGGAACGGGTGGGCTGAGATCAGACCTCCCCACTTGATGCATTTCCCCACGGCTGAAATGTGAACACCGTGTGCTCTGCAGTGCCATCTCATCCTGTTGTTTCCATAGGGGAATGTATGTGGCAATAAACACGTGGCCTAGAAAGGAACTTTAGGGGTACTTCCAGTAGTGGGCTGCCTTTGACCCTGCCAGTGTCATTCCAAAGTGATGACAGAGGTGTCACGGGGGAAGTCATCTTCATTGCCTCCTAACACAGCCCTGACCGAGCTAGACATTAATCCTGGCCACCTCCCACCTGACTAACGGGCCAAGACAGGCTGTCACAGACATCCGAAACGCCGAAGCAGAAGCACTCGGAGCAGCCCTGCGGGTTCCTTTCCTTCAGGTTGTAGAATCCCGGCTTGCAGCGATCACAGTCTTTCCCCTGGACGTTTTCCTGTAAGTTAGGGTAAAGGTCAGCTTTTGAAACCAATGTGTCCAGATTGACTAAAATGGCATTAACAAAACAAGTGTTCAGTGATCCACAACAGAAAGAGGTAAATAACTAAAAGTCCAAAGTAATGTTTCCAGAATAGATATTTTGAAATAAATATTTGATTTTGTAGTCAAGAACAAGGTTGGAGATCTTAGAGCTAGTCATTACACTTAAATAGATTTTTTGCTTGGTTGTGTTTTAAATCCTCCATTTTTGCTGATCTTTCAAGCACTTTAAAATCTGAAGAGGACTATATAATTGTCTGTCCTATTCGTAAATATTCAAGGTTATTGTCATTCATATATAACATGTGCTTGAGATTCTGCTGATGTGGGAATAAGTACATAAGGTACAAAAAAAATCCTATGAATTACTGGGAACTTATTTATTAACATCATATGGACAAACAAAACCCCTCACTGGTACCATATTAAGGTAGTTCTTAGGACTGTTCAATTCCTTTTTAAGAGAAATCCAAAATAATGTATCTGCCTTTAATTAGTGTTCTTAGAAATTTAGCATCTACCTGGTTCTCCTCCAAACACAAAACTGGAAAAGAATGTCACAGAAGAATCAAGCCAAGGCCCAAGAAAAGGTATGCAGTGTTTGGTGTCACCTAGGAAGTCACAGAAATGCCTCTGGAATATATGGCCATTGCCAGAGGTTCAAAAGAAGAAAACCAAGTGCTCATCCAAGGACACACAATACGACCAACTCGGTGTGACATGTCATGCTTCCCAAGAGGCGGGGCAAGGGGGAGTTCTCTTAAACTTTACTGCTTTGCTCAAGAACTGACTATCGGAGCCAATAGAACATGTTTCTTTTTCAGAGAACATTGAAGGAGACTCGGGGGTGTCTTTGACCTCCACGCTTGCTCACCTTACAAAGACAGGGCTCTGTGCACGGATCGTCATTCACACTGCCAGCTGGACTGCAGTCACAGCGGACGCAGCTTGGGTAATTCTTATGGCCGAGTTGGCAACGATCACATTTTTCTCCTGCATAACCTTCCTTACATGGACACTGACCGGGCCACTTCCCTGGAGAGAGAACAATGGCAATGATCCAACACGAAGGTAAAAGAGGTTTAAAGCAGGGTCAGCAAACGTTTTCTGTTAAGGGCCAGAGAGTGCATATTTTAGGCTTTTTGGCCACAGAGTCTCTGTTGCGACTACTCAACTCAGCTATTATTGCTCAAACACAGCCACAGGGAATACACAGCAAATGGCTATAGCTCTGTTCCACTAAAGCTTTATTGACAAGAGTAGACAGTGTGCCAGATTTGGCCCTTGGGCCATAGTTTGCCAACTCGTAGCTTAAAGAGAGGAAACAGAGATGAGGAAGGTGGGAATATAAAACGGTGCAGTGACTTTGGAAAACCATTTGGCAATTCTTCCAGATGTTAAGCATAGAGTTAACATATGATCCAGCAATTCCACTCCTCAGTAAATACCCAAGAAAAATGAAAACATATGTCCACAAAAAACTCACACATGCATGTTCATAGCTGCATTATTCATAACAGCCACAAAGTAGAAAAAATCCAAATGTTCATCAACTGACGAATGGATATATTAAAGGTCACATATCCATATTATGAAATACCATTTGGCAATAAAAAGGAATGAAATCGTGACACATGCTACAACATGGGTGACCCTTGAAAACATTATACTAAATGAAAGAAGCCAGTCACGAAAAACCAACATATAATATCATATGGTTTCATTTATATGAAATGTCTAGAATAGGTAAACTTACAGAAAGAAAGTAGGTAAGTGGTTGCCAAGGGCTGGGGCGGAAGGGTTTGGTGGGATATGGCGAAGGGCAAGTAATTGACAAGCGGTTTCTTTACGGGGTCATGAAAATGTTCTGCTATTAGACTGTGGTAATGGTTGCACCCAAAAATATACCCAAAACCTGGAATTGTATACTTTAAATAGGAGAACTGTATGGTAGTAAATGATAAAACAGTTTTGTAAAAACAGCACAGGGGCAAATCGCAGAGGGCAGCAAGTGCCATCTTTGCTTTTAATGTCAGCTCTAAGAATTTCGAGCTGTGTAACCCTGGCCAAGTTTCCTCACTCCTCTCAGCTATAGTTTCCTTACCTGTAAATTGGGTTCAACCATTTCTATCTGCTAGTGTTGGAAAGTTTAAATGATTTATTTTTTTAATGAAACAAATCCCAGGTAAATGTCACCATCACCATCACCACCATCTTCATCATCATCATCCCCAGTCACATGCAAGAATTGATTCAGTTGTGTAATTTACCTTGCACATGCCTGGTGGGCCCCACAGGTGCACACCCGTCCCTGCTGGTCAATATCCATTTTAACTGCCAGTGACTGAGAATTTGATGGGGCCACAGAAGTGTTTGAACAGATGCAACCTATTTGGGAGACTCTGGTATTTGCAAGTCCATTTGCCAGTTTTTGAAAGCGAAAGAACACTGACGTTTGCCAAGTTAACTAGAGGATTTGCTTGCGTTGTGAGATGAGGTACGCAAAAGCTCTCTGAGTGTCTTCTAAGAGCTAAATAGAGCAAATGCTATTTACTGTGTTCCACATATGGCTTTAAACTGAGCCCTTATTTCTTCTTTCATCAAATGCTCAATTATCTGCTCAAATGCCATTTCATCATCCCAACATTGTCCCCTTCTTACACCATCTCCCTACAATCATGAATTCTAATTTTGCTTGATGCCCACAGCACTATCCCTACCTGGTATTATATTACCCATGCACTTGTATGTTTAGTGTCTGCCTGTGAGCAGGGACCTTGGCCATCCTCTTCAAGTATATATTCCCAGGTACTGGAAAACTGCCTGACACCTACTAGGGACTTGATAAATATTTGGTGAACAGAAGAATCCCACAAAGAATCACATTACCAAATTGCTACACAACAGTAATATAATAGTTCCACTAGGTACAAATCTTCCAGGCACACAAAAAAATCAATTACAAGCACAAAAAGGAATCAAGAACTTACCATTGTGTAAGTCAGCATGGAGGTCATCCTTAATACAGACAGAACTGAGGGACCCCACAGGGTCACAGTCACAGGGATGGCAAGGCTTGTCCTCATAAGGGGACACCTGAAAGGCAGAGGTTGTCCTGGATTATCAGACTAGAAATAATAGCAATATTAGCAATAATACCAGTGACAAGTTATCAGCTTTTTATTGCAGTTGGGATTATTACAATGATTTTGGGTACCAAGAGGGTGCAGGTCTCAGGAATATAAAGTAATCTCAAGCTAGGAAGCAGCAAACATCTTTTTGATGGTGACAGCAGTTAGCATGATTAGCAAAGTGTCACCCTTCCCCATTATGGTTACCCACCACCCCTGCTCTGCTCTCTCTC